ACATAAAGCCCGCCGAATCTTCGAGAATAACCTGATAAACCGTGCAGTAGAAAACCCGATGCTCTTCTATAACTCAATTAGGCCACGCACACAAAATGAGGACAACATCTCCTCGTTAAAAACAGATAACGGTTTCGAAGTTCACAAGGACGACGAAAAGGCCGAACATCTGTCCCAGTTTGTCCAGTCGAGAAGTTGGTCAAACCGCTGATAACTATAGGGTAGAGGAGATCCCAACATTCAACTCAGTGGTCCTCACAAAAGATGCGTATTTCCAATAAATTCCAACTCTGAGAGAAACTAAATCGCTAGGTTCTGATGAAGTACCTGCAAAGTTGTCTGTCAGCAGACTTCATCATGTCCCCATCTGCGGAAACTTTTAAGAAGAAGCTTGATCACTACAGCTGTATTTATCACCACGCCATTAGGAACTAACACGTACTTCTTTTTTTACCTTAATCCCCCCAGAAAGTCACGCGTTATAAAACATACTACTCCCTGTTTTCGGTAAAATTAGTTTTCTCAGTGTTTCATCAAAGGCTCCGTATGTATCGCCGTTTTTTGTCATGCTTTTGCAACCAATAGAGAGTTCAACGATGTTTGCTTACATTTCCCCTAATAAAACTGAACTGTTTGTCACAAAAGGCCAGCTGACGAGGAATTTCGGAACGGAAAGACACAAAAAACACTTCTGACACAAAAACATTATTACATTATAACCGCGAATTAAAAATACTATTCCAAAGAATATTAGCTAAAGTTATGAAATAAAAGCTTGATTGTGCTCCGCGAGTGTTGGGAATCCGCTGGATTTAGAACAGGCGTTTCTCATAGCTGCAGGGGAGGATAAAAATAAACAGGCTAGTAAAATATGGCTACTAAAATGAAATCAATAGCAATGTTTGTTACAAGTACACTTACGAATGAAGACCGTGCACGCTACCCTCGATCTGCGCACAGGGGCTACGCCGCTCAAAGCGCAACTCTCCCGATTCCATTAAATGCCACAACTGAGGAAGGGACTTG